ATGTGGCCGAGAGAGAGGTACTGGCATTTTCTTCCGTCCTGCCTTTCCTGCCACCAGTGAAGGAGGAAAGAATAGAAATACTTTTTGCAATATGAATGCAAGTTGCTCTTCTTAAGGACCGAAAAAAAAAAGAATGGAGATAAAAACAGGAAAAATAACACATCATCAATCTATCAAAAAATGTTCCTGAATCCATCAATCTAAAGCAATATGCAAGCTGATTAAAAAGGTTGTATTCTCAACCATTCGCTAAAGAATCGTGTTGGTCAATGGATACGGTATCGTATAAAAAAGCAAAGCATCCTACACAAATAACGGCAAATAAAAGCTGAAATACAGTTAATAGAAATCCAGCCCGAAATGAAGAAGGTTCCTGACGACTCCCCATCTTGCGTAAATCCTTGCGAACCCTCCAGTTTCTCACAGATTTCGGGTATTAAAAAGAACACTTGAATGTGTAAATACCAACTACTTAAAAAACATATGGACCAGAATCTATACAGATGGTTCAGCGAAAAATGGTACAGTATACAAAATGGTTCCGTTCGATATACAATATTAAAAATCAAGTGGCAGGATTAGTGAACGCGAAGGTTCGACGCCAATACCCCAACAATATTGGTTGGTACAAAAAATACCATCAAAATCATAACGCAAACCTCCCATATACGTCTCGTTTTACTACGATAGATTATTTTTCAGCAAAAATAAGCGAGGCAAAGCCTACGTTCAATGTTTTGATAACTTAATGAGGTCGTTCTGATCAGAAATCTGATAAGACGAATGTTTAATAGTTGATGAAAAAATTCATTAATGCAGGTAATACGGTAATAAATTTTTGTAATTACAAATTATTAAAACGGTGAACTAATACATTCAAACGTATTAAAAAAGCAACACACTGAAGAAAACAAATTTTAGAGGCTCCAATAAAAAAAAAAAGCTGCCAGTACTGGGCGTGTGTCCCAATTCGGGTTAGATAACTGTAGATTCTCTCGCGTCCCACCTATCCTTCGGGCCTGTTATTTAAATCACTGATCAGCCGTTTCGGGGGAAGCGTGCAAAATGTTTACTAATTAACATCAAGATTAATATTTTGGAGTATTTCGTGATAACAAGTAAAGGCTGAAAGCCAAAATATGTACTTAACAACGATCAACTGCGGAATTAAATCAAGATCATCAGACAGTTTCTTCCAGAAATAAAACTCAAATTTTCATTGAGAACATTAATTCAATTTTTAATTTTTCTGCTTGTGCATATATGTGCAGAAAAATTAAAAATTGAATTAAAGTTCTCAATGAAAATTTGAGTTTTATTTCTGGAAGAAACTGTCTGATGATCTTGATTTAATTCCGCAGTTGATCGTTGTTAAGTACATATTTCGGCTTTCAGCGTTTACTTGTTATCACGAAATACTCCTAAATATTAATCTATATATATATATATATATATATATATATATATATATATATATATATATATATATATATAATAAATATTAATCCTATATATATGTATATATAAGGTGTATATGTCTATTATGAGGACATAAAAAATCAGGATTTTCATTCAGGATATGTTTTATTAAGTTTTAAGACTTATGGTAATGACTACCCAAGCCTGTTGATCATTATCAAGGCTAAAAATTAAGATTTGTAAAACCAATATAAGATACTGACATAGGTAAATAAATAAACCATGAGAAAATGACAAATGTTATAAGAAAGATAATAGTTTTATAAACATAAAATAACACACATTCAATTTAAAATCAATAAATTAAATTGATAAGACATACATATAAAACGACCGGTAATTCTTAAGCTAATATTAGTTAATATTAATATTAGTTACTTTATATTTAATTATAAAATGATTACAAATACTTATTATAATAATTATTTACTAAATTTCACTTCCTAATCTTATTGTATTTCAATTAGCTTTTAAAATTCTAAAAGCTTTCATATCACTTCATTTATTTTAAGCCCTAGTTTTTTTATGCGTACTTTTTACCTTGTTTTTTTCTTGATGAACTAATATGTTCATATAAATATTATGTTTACCCTTATATCTAACCATTTATCTATTTCCCTGGCCTTATTAACGTACTTATGTCTTTACAAAGTACACTTACAAACTACTATAGTTTTTTTGTTGATTTTTTTTATCATTGCAATAGTTTTGCTTATAAAATTAATTCAACGTTCCCTTCCAACTTAATTTAGTTTTTTTGTTAGTTATTGTTATTGTTTTTAGCAGCTATGTTCAGTTTTGTAACCATACTGTTCTTCTGTTTTCTTTTATATTGTATACCTTCATATCTACGTATATATTTGTCTTATTGCTTATGTTTTATTATTCTTTACTGTAATAGGTCTTTAGGCCAGATTTAATGTTAATTTGTATGAACAATGTTGTTATTCCTAAGGGACTTTGTACCAGAACAAAATTGATTTTTATATTATATATCTCTTTGTATTATATTTATTATGTAAATTTTAATTGTTAGACCTGATGAGAACCCATATCCTTGGATCGAAACGTCGACAACACTTAATAAATAACCTAAATCACTAAAATCCTGATTATCCATATCTTATTTTAAAGATTTGACTTTACGGAACGTCCTAACATTTTTTTGTCTAATATTTTATTACACTAACTATATAAAAAAACAAAATGTTTCGCATTAGAGAACGTTTTGAAAATACTTACTATTTACATTTTTAATATTTAATATGAATTTATCTAACTCTGACATAAGCAGAAGATAAAAATTATTTAAATTTTTTAACTAATGAAAAGAATGATAATAAGTAAGCTTCTTCTGAACAGAGGTATTGATAACGACATTTGTGGGTTTCGCGATACTTTTCAAGGCTTCCTGTAATCAGCATTAAAATACAGAGTACCACCGGAATAAAACAATGAATTTAATTTATTTTTTCTTTCAGTGAACCGTGGTTATATCTCATGTACTTACGTTTATTATTTAAAATATAATTACAAATAATAAATAATTTGCATATTAAATATGCGTTTGATAATGTTCACCCTAATAATAAATCAGAGTAAGCTTGTGTTTATGTTGTTATTTAGATTAGTTTAGTTTTTTTTTTTTTTATATATACAGATTTGCTTATAGTATAATTATTTTCTGTATTATTTATTTTTATTTTTTGTAAATAGAGTGTGAATGTGCTCTCTGAACATTGTTATGAATGTCCTGAATTGTGACAGATTATAATATTTCTCAATAAATAAGTATAATAAATAATAATTAATATTCATAAAATATAGGTAGCCTAAATATTTCAATTCTGACTTTACAAAAAAAAAAAAGAAAAAAAAAATACATTAAATATTAATATTAAAAACCAGACTTAAAATTCAACCTGCGAACAAAATTATATTTGTTTAATAATTAACAACATTTTTTTAATGTTACTAATTATATTAAAATTTCAACGAAGAAAACACGATATAAATGAGAAAATTTTCCTTACTACTTATACAAAATTAAGTTACATAGATATATTAATATAATACATTTTATACTAACCTATATATAGAATAACTAACTTGTTTGACAATTTTACAAGCACTGATTTGAACTCAGTCCAAGCACAAGCACTCTAAACAGGGCTCAAATATTCACCATGTCGACACAAATGCCCGGAAAGTTATAAATCTTCCATTTTGACTGACGTTTATATACTGCTGCTATGGTTAGTTACGAAGAAAATGTTTTGAAATGAATTTTTTTTTCAAGGTTATGGATGATTTCAAACTAGTATATTACAATGGAAATTACGTTTGTAGTAATATTAGTTACTTCTACAGCCGAAATGTAACTGATTAGTCCTGTAATGTACGTGACATTAAAGCTCAAATTAAATAGAACAAAAACAATGTCAAACACAGAAAGGAGTACTTCAATTTTTGTATTGAGTAAATTAAATGAATTTGGAAAATTTAGGAAATTCGGAAGAAAAAAATTAGCAAATATCTATCAATCCATCACAGAATTGTGAGGCTCAATAAAAAAAAAAAAAAAAAAAAAAAAAAAAAATAGCAATTATTAGAAAAAATTAAACAAACAATTTTCAATCTTCAACAGTAAAATTTACCATGAATAACTTTCCTTCTTATGAAGATATTACATTAAGAAAAAACTTATAATAGTTCGTATAATTTTTATTAAATCACTAGGTATAATATTAGTAAACAAAATATCAATTAACATAATTTTAAATAATAAGAAAATATACAAATAATAATACAATTAGTTAATAATAATACTAAAAATGCATGCCTACTATTATAACCCATAAATGATAAATTAATCATTTAAACAATTTATTACTGAAAATTCTCAACATAAGAAAAAAAATCATGCGGCTGTAAAAACAAGTGATATTTTCCCATTGAAAATAAAATAGTGTAATCGGTTTTACTTCTTAGTATTTTAATAAAATGTGAATAAGATATACGCTTAAACTATTTTTCTTGATTAATAATGCTTTAAGCACGACCAGTTCAAAAACTCAGATACTTGTTCATAAGATTAATATTTTTAGAGTCAATAAATCTCAATCTGCAACTAGATGACAAAATATAGTATAGTAAAAACAAAATAAAAATATAGATAGATTTTCCATGACAAAAAAAAAAACCTAAAGTAAAAATTATTGATATTTAGAATAAAATTGTCTATTATCATTTAAAAAAATGTAATTTATATATTTAAATATTGTATCTGTTTGTATCTAGAATGATCTGAATCAAAATAGAAAGGAGAAGAAAGATATTTTATATTCGAATAGGATCTGTCGGGAACAGGAAGCTGCGTTATCAATACTGATAACCTGCGTTGTGTTTTATAATATACCGTAAAAATTATCATATTTGTTCTCACTTTGTATACTTAATATTATATTTTAAAAACATATACAACATTACAACAAATAATTTGTATAAAATACATAACTTACATGTTTAAGGAGAGATGTTAATCCAAGGATTGCTTTCACAAACTTACAACACTCAACATACGATCGAATCTAATATATATAAAAAATAAAACAGGATAAATATAGATGTATAATTAAAAATTTCCCGACAGCCGCACAGACGAGATAGTTAGGGAGAGAATCACGTGTAGCTTGTAAACAAAAGGTAAGATTCAGTCTAAGGAGGAGGAGGCGAGAGAGAGGGGGGACAGGTCTGCCAACGCTAGCCTTTCTCCTACCAACTGTAGTATACAGAAAGTGAACACGGCATGAGGATACAGTAACATTGTAAACAATAACTATAATAATAATAATAATAGGAACTAACTATACCTCCAACTAATTCTGAGCAAGTAAAATAAAAATCCTATAGCAATAAAACTCATGAAGAGTTTTAGGTTCAGTATTTTTTAGGTTCTGTCTCTTGATCAATTCTTGTGCAAGGAGGTCAAATGAACGAGAGCACACTCAACCGTAAGATTTTCCCATTAATTACCAGTCCCCATTTTATAGAGGTAGAGTATGGACCAAGTCTGGTATCGCAACCCCAGGATCGAGTCAAGCCTAAATAACGTAATAAATCATTACATGCCAGAACCGTACACGAATCCAGGACCAGGAGAATCGGATCACAGTGTCTCACTGAACTATCCCACTCTCACTAACTATAATGGTATAAAATAATTCCTAAACATAATTCTCCTTTAAAGGAAGGAGATGGTCCGAGGTGACGGTCATAAATAGGCTAAATACTGGCAAAACTATTTTATTAAAAGCCAACGTTTCGAACCGACTTTTCAGGTCATCTTCAGGGAGGTGTGTTCAGTTAGGAGTTTCACTTAGAACTGCCAGTTCAGTGTTCACTCCTACCTGAACATACCTCCCTGAAGAAGACCTGCAAAGTTGGGTTGAAACGTTGGCTTTTAATAAAATAGTTTTGCCACTTTTTAGCCTATTTATGACCGCCACCTTCGACCATCTCCTTCCTTTATAATGCAACAGTCAACGATTAAATATTCAATAATTCTCCTTTCTGCCTCACATTCAATCTTATATTTATGGACACAGACACTGACGGATCCAGGAATTATTTTTGAAGGGATCTTTAGCCGTAAGCTTTTTAAAAATATATTTCAAGATAATTACTTTGGAAGAAAATTTAGGGAACTAACTACCTATATGAAATTGCATTTAATTAATTCTTGAGGTCCAATTAAATATAATCAGACGAACAACAATACTCTTTTAAATATTTCTTCATAAATTGTGGTTATATTTTACCATTTTGGGGGAGAAGGGCTTCAGCCCGAAAGCCCACCCTCTCCCCTCCGTAAATCCGCCTGTGATCATAGAGAATATCTAGGTAAGTTGAAAAATGATGCCCACGAGTTCTTTGATCATCTTCCAAGCCTTCTTAACACCGTGAAAAAGTTGGTAACTCTACAGCTCTCATCTAGACTTTTAAAATATTTAGCACTCTGAGTTATCAACTTCTTTGGGGTGTTAGGAAGGCTTGGATGAAGACACCAATTCACTAAACCCATGAGGACCATTTTTCGACTTGCCTATTTATTCCCTGTGATCGTAGATATATTATATTACATTTATATACAGTTATATTTTTACATATGGATAAGTAGTCGACTAATGAATTATAACGATGAAACAAAATTGTCAGGAATTTCAGTCAAAATTTCATTAACGGATTAGCCAACGTTTCAACCAAAATCATGCGGATCATCATCAGGGCCAGAGGTACCCAGAAGAGCGCAAGTCAAAATGTTTGAGGAAGCATATTTTGGCAGGGTTTTCAATTTTTTAGGGGAATAAATTTCGAGGAGGTTATGAATTTTCAGAAACAAAAGATTCATTTTAATGGACAAGCAGAAAACATGGAGCAGACTGCAGAAAATGTAATTGTATAAGATCTCCGATTTTTCTAATTCTATTTTTGTTTGCTCTGTTTTTAAGAAAGGGTGATAAATAAAATATCTTGGAAGGGGAGTGGAGAGGTTCTTGCGGAATCGATTTTAGGAGGGATTGGCACCTCTGATCAGAGCTATCGTTTGGTAGTCGAGACAGTAACTGTGTTCTTGAAATATGTTCTTGTTTACAATAAACAGTTCTTGTCTCGACTTCCAAACGATAGCCCTCATAACGGTCCACATGTATGGGTCGAAACATCGCTCAACTCATTAAAGAAATTTTAACTGAAATTCCTTACAATTTTGTTTCGTAGTTATATTTTTAAGTTTCATCTTTCTCTATTCCGATCGCCGATAGCTCCTTCAGCGTGAAGTGAAACTGACAAATTTGTATTGATTTATCTTCGATTAATCAGTTTAATCCTGGTGACGGAAAGAAATGGATAGATTTGGATGTTTTTAAACAGGAAGCATATAGTATTTAAGAGAAGAATTGGACGGGTTTAAGAGCAGTTTGAGAATTTTATCATATACTAAAGCTTTGTTGTGGTATAGATATATGTCGAAAAGTCGAAAAATAATAGGTCTGGTGTACACACGTGATTTGAATAAAGGTAGATCAAAGACGAAAGAGTGGAAGAAAAAGGCTTTCTATTTATCAAAATTACATAATATTAATTACAAAAAATACAAAAATATTTTTTTTTGGATTTAAACCGAAAATCAGACTTGCTATATGGTCTGTTGACTGTCAGAGGAGTCTGTGTTTCAAAACAAAATTATATTCAATCTATTTATATATAATTATTTTAATTACAAAAAGAGTGGTACGAACATTCTGCAATTTATCAATTGTTAAATTGTTGAGCATTATTATATAATAGGACGCAGATTTACAGTAATTTACCAATGGTATCCAATTTTTTCCATTTATTAAATCTATTACTTGATCCCGAGATAAATTTCGAGATTTAATTCTAAATTAACATTTAATTCTAAATTCATCGAGTATTGGACAAGCAGCCAGGATGTGATAGAGATCTTCTGTTTCGTTTGTATTATACATATGCTACAAATATTATTTGTTTGCATGAAGCTTTCTTCTCCTTCTCAAAGGTATTAAAATCCCAAAAATCTCAAACTAAAGGAGTACAATGCTATGATAAAGCCAGTTCTCATATATGACTGTGAGACCTGGACACTAACCAGGACCCTAGAAAAAGGTGTTGAAAATTTTGAGAGAAAAATCCTCCGCACGATAACCGGAGCGATCTGAGATCAGAATACTAACACATGGAGGTTAAGATGGGCAGGATATGTAGCTTGTAGCAATCCATCTGGAAGCCTCTACGTAACAATGAATGCCTCACAAGAAGGCAAAAGGCAACATGCAAGACGAAAAAGCAGATGGGTAGATAGAATCAACAAAGATGCAACAGAGCTGCGTGCAGATACAAGGAAAGAAATAACCCAAGACAGGCAGAGGTAGAACAGACTTGTTAAGGCATCAAGAGATCTACATGGTCTTTAATGAAAAAAAAAATCAATAAAAAATCACAGCAATGTTTCGAATCTCTGGTCAACTGTAGTTTGTCTAACAGCACTTCAAGTGATGAACTAATGTCTCATATGAAGGTCTAAACAAAAATTAATAAAAATGAAATGCTTATAGAAATAACACCGTTTTCGAGAATATTAATTATTGATACAATTTATGAAACCTATTTGTGGCGCCATCTACCTTCCCACGCGGTGGCCCTACTAGGTACAATCGCCCAGAATTAAAAATTTAAATTAACCTACAATCAAACCTGGAAGAAAATCAAATTCTTTGTAAGAAGTAATTTTTTATTTGACAAGATTCCATTGAAATGTTATCAATATGAAATGAAAATTAATAAAAGGTGTATAACTTATTATTGTGTTTCCAGAGATGTCTAGACATAATGAATTATTTCAATAATAACTTCCTTATGTAATAAAAATTTAAATGGTATAGCATAATAAATTGTTTCTTTTAATAAGAGTGTGTGGAAGAAGATGATACTCATTCTGTTTATTATCAACATTAGGCATGGCCTTACTGATAGTATGTCAATCCAAGAGAAAAAGCACGCTGGCATGGATTTTCCTCAAAGAATACCGTTCCGACGGAAGTTTCCGCGGAGAGACCAACGACTTAAAAAAACTTCCAATATCAGTGCCTGCCGCCAATCGGAATGAAGAAGCTTTTTAGCACCGATGGAAGAAGTCACAACAACGAGAGCCAATCTAACAGCAACTAGGTTGGGAATCTCTCATGCGGCTGTAAATAGAATTCTTATCAGGATAATTACATCCTTTCCATATGCAGAAGTTCACAACCTTTTTGAAACCAACTTGGGCGCAAGGTCAAGTTTTTCGAAGAGGTGTCTAAAGCAGGCGACCATATGGGATAATGAGAATTAAATTTTATGGACTGAGATAGTACGTTTTATAATATATTTGGACAATGCAGTAGAACACAAACCCCCACGCCACAGTAAGTAGTTCTGTTCATTATCTTTTCTAGTAAAAATTATAATTGGGCTCTTAAAAAACTGGCTTCTAAACTAAATATATATGCCAAACAGGTTTAATTATACAGAATGTTTACATATTCTGCAAAACAGATTTTTTTTTTTAAATCTCAAACATGGGCGTTTTATGTCAGTTATTGGGAAAAACGGGGACCATAATATATAGTGAAACTCTCTAGTGGACAACTTTAAACTCCATAAATTTTTTTATAATTTAATATTATTGATAGAACATATCGATTATATATATTCTAGTAACTCGTTTTGGTGCTAGGGATTATGAATTTAATCTTTCCTTGTTAGTTCTCAAACAGAATTGATCAACAAAATGTCAACTTAAGTTATGTACTCGTAATAACTTAGTAATACCGAACTGTGAACTTAATTCAAAATTCTATAATTATAGTTATGACAGATTCCTAGATTTAGGTCAAGTAACACATTCCTCTATAGGCCAATCTTCTGCATTTGCGAACGTCTTCGGTAAAAACTTAGGAACCAATTCGTATACTTTGATGTTTACTACTCCAAGAAAAGCGAAACGCAGAGAATGCGTTCGCGAACGCTGTTCGTCATTAAAATTAATTAAATTATCCGTTCGTTCATTAAAGTTCCTCTAGTGTGGATGGGTATTCCTGCGATTCTGCTCGTTAGCGCAAACCAGGCACAACTTCACTTTTGGAAGCAAATCCTCGACATG